GAGTTGAGTACTAAGGATCGGGACCTTTTCGTCATTAATCGCCTTTTCCAGCAAGCACTCTATCAGAAGACGCTAAATCCGGAATCGATGACACTGCAGTTGACGTATCCGATAGCGGATTTACGCGGTATAAAGTTACACCTGGAGCGTAACTTTTACGGTGTTCAAACTACTGCTCAAAGTAACATCACCAACATCGATTATGTGAAGGTCAGTATATCCGAAAGTTTATTTAGAGACATGCAGCAGGAAAGGCTCCTTGACCTTCTGCTCCAAATCAGCGCGGACGATGTAGACTCTTACTTTTCAAAGTATTTCATACCCAAAGGAACCCGGTTGTGGAGCGTTAATTCCCAGTAACGGCCGCACTGCGAGTTGACTGGAGAGAAAGGGTCGAGGCGCACCGCCGCTACAGTGCTAAGAAGGTTGGGTCCTGGTGTGGATGCTGTGTACGCCACTCCGCTTGCGACGTCTGCAGCGACTGGGAAAGAACGCTCTACTCTCATTTTAACCCCGATCCGCTGCGCATTGGAAACCCGAACAATCTTTGTCTCTCTCGAGTAGTCGCCCGGGTCCCCATCTGATGGCACGACAGATGACAGTGCCTTACCCACACATCGGATAGTTCCGTCACAGTCAAAAGCATTATAGGTTACAAAATTATTGATACTGTCTAGCTTTCACGCTACACCGGATCCATTTCAGCTAATCTCGATGTCATTCATGGCGGAAATGAAGACAGGAGCGGACACTGAACGGCTTGGTGCATGGGAACTGACGCTGTTCGATTTCTGCAATAATTACACAGCTAATAGCGATAATAAGCTGGAGATACAGGTAAACCGACTTGTCTTTCAGCAAAACATTATGTCTATGCAGCGAGGTACAAAGTGAAATGAAACATAGAACATGTCTTGATAATGAGCAGTGCGGAACACATTTTAGTAGAGCAGGGTATGCCCGTTTGGAGATCCACGTTGCGCCTGATGCGATATTGTTTTACAAGAGCAGTATTCAAACCGAGATCTAGCCGGTATTCCTAAAACGCCATATAAGCCGCAGCCGTATGCAGACCGCATTTTTGCTTCAAAGTTTGGTAATATTTTTGCATAGAGAATGTAATGGATAAATGGGTCGATTCAGCGGCTGGTCATGAGCTCGACTTCTCTATGCGTCACTGATTTTTACTTTTTCGAGACTTCTTGTTCCGGCTCTCGCAGATCATTAGGACGACGCAATAGTGCCGTGCGAGACAGTCTCTACAATGAAGGCTCCTAACAGACCGTCTATCTTTTCTCAGCTAAGATATTCTGAGTTCTACTTGTAGGTCATATGTTCTTGCGACTAAAATGAAAAAAAGAATTTTGAACGTCTGCAGCACAGTTTCTCGAATTTTTGAAGGATTGCAGCTGAAGATGTGCACTCGACACGTACCGCTTGCGGAATGGTGGCTCTTCCTGCTTCCTCACCCCTCCCCTCCCTACCTGCGCAAATAATTAGTTGGTTCCATCCACGTTCCTACGTTGTGAATGCAAAGGCCCTGTAGTGGAGTAGGGTTGGTGTTTTGTATAAGAGATATGTACAAGAACAGAATTACAGTCTGCAGATTTATTATTTTATTATTAGTGAAAGTGAGATTGTGTGTATGAGTGAGCACAAGGTGCTTAATATCCTGGAGCAGTGCGAGGAGGTGGGCAGTGATCGCAACCTCCCCTTGATCCCTGTTGGCCGTCGTCTCCTGGTCTTCCATCGTTTCCAGGTCTTCCATCATTACCAGGCCGTCCATTGTCTCCAGGTAGTCCTGGTCCACCATCTCGTCCTGGATTTCCTGGAGCACCTGGCTGCCCATCGGGACCAGGAGCTCCTCGGGGTCCAGGAGGTCCAGGTGGTCCCTGAGAGCCAGGTCCTTGGGTGAGTACTCCTGGTGGTCCAGGAGGACCGGCGTTTCCGGGCTGACCTGCGTTTCCAGGTGGTCCTGGTGGACCCAAAGGACCTGGTCCTCCGGGGTTTCCAGGGTTTCCTGGCCGGCCATCAGATCCGGGGTTTCCTGGTGCTCCTTTGTTACCTGGACTTCCAGGTGGACCTGGAGGTCCGGGAGGACAGTTGAAGCATGGTTGCGGAGCCGGCGGAGCTGGCGTGGCTGGTGGTCCATCAGGTCCATTTCTGCCAGGTTGTCCGGGTCGCCCATCAGATCCAGGTTGCCCGTCTTGTCCACGAGGTCCAGGAGGTCCAGCTGGAGAAACTCCACATCCACAGCATCCACCGGCCTGACGGGCCTTCCTGGTAGGTGCAGCAAGAACCTGAACTCACCGCATTACTGGTTTAATTATTGAGAGAGGGGCTTGATTACAAACCTGAGTACGGGTGACTTCTCTCCAGATGTTTCCCGAGCGGGACTTGCAGAAGTCCACTTCGTTCTGCATAACCGACTGCATGTGCTGCATGTAGTTGTACAGCATGGGCACGGAAATGACGCAGACGAGGGTGGCCACGGTAGAGAGAGCTACGCCGAAGAAGGCGAATCTTCTCAGGGAACGCGCCTGCGCTTCCCAGTGCTTCTCGTCGCCAGTCATGCTTGTGAAGTGAATGTGGACAGTCAACACCTACTGCTTTTATATCAGTGTTTTGGACATTACAACGTGCTGATTTATGAAATGAATTCCGATGACCCTTTTAAGGCCTGGATTACGTAAGTTTAAAGTAGGTTATCAGTGACAATCGAGACTAACACGGAAGTGTCTTCGTTAAGGCAGTCTTCATTAAGGCTATCCGAGCTGAAAACAGGTCAATTCTTTCCATAAATTCGATGGCTAGATTTTGCCTCATTCTTGGCGCGACCTGTATAAAATATCTCTTGCTATGTAGGGACCATTGAGTCAGCCATTGAGGAAGATATTGACATCCTTACAGCGTGAGGAAGATTTCATGTCCAGGCTAAATTGTGAATGCTATTCGCACGGACCTTCTGGGAAGTCGACGATGGCACGTGCTTTGCTTGACCTACCTCGTATGTGACATTTCACACTAGAGGCTGAGGCGGCGTAGTGCTAAAGACGCAGCTGCTCGCTCCACACGCGCGTACCATGGTCAGGGTACAGCATCAGGTGGGTGAAATGGTGTTAATAGTAACGACCCCCCCCCCTCTCGGAAGAGGGTTTCGGTAGCGACCCCCCCCCTCTCCAACACTTACTACCAATTTCCCCAAACATTTTTCAGTTTTTCACTAGAGATTTTCTACACCGAGCGAAGGGGGGGGAAGGGAAGGGGGGTATATAATCAATGGGAAAATTTTTTGATTATCCCAACTTCCTACCCCTTTTTCCGGAAATAACGACAATTTTCTACTTTTCTCCAAATATTTTGCTGTCGGGCGGAAGGGGGGGGGGTTGTGATTTTTCCCAGCGGCGGCAAATTCGGCACATACGACCCCTTCTCCCTAACGATCAAATACGTTCTCTCTCCCCGCGGAAAAGTACAACCCCCCTCCCCACCCACCCCCCCCCCGCCCTTTGTCTCACACAACGATGCTGTTATCCTGACCCATGGCAATCAAAATTTGCGCTGGTTAGAAAAAAATTCCATTCCCACGTGGGTGATAGTAATACATACATAAATTGTTTTTCTAGTATACATTTTCGGATGAAAGACCCTAACGCTTCAGTCTTCGCGAACAGGATTCATCAGCGATGAAGACAAATGTTGAGGCTCTACCAGAGGGCAGTCTTTCAGGTTATGGGGACGCTTTTTCGTGAGGGCGGTTTTGTGCGTTTGTGAATTCATTTGTGGGATAAAAACAATTTAATTCTGCTTGCGCCTTTGCGGCCTTAGAGAAACTGAAATGGAATAAAAAAAATTTCTATGGCAGCTAAGAACACCTTCGCGAACCACCTTATCCACCGCTTGTGACGCCTATAACTTGATATACGGACAGCTGCAAGGAGTCTTCAATAATTTTGCCGTGCGGAGTCTTTTCTTGATTGTCTATAAAGCACTAGTTGGTTCCAGGTCATTGGTGCGAGATCGTAGACACCGAAATGAACAAAGATGGTCAGCGGATGTCCGCGTACTTCGCCACTGGTATGAGCTTTGAACCCTAACTGATTAGTATTTTTAACACTGTTAATATTTTTAACACTGTTAACTTTTGTAGACTTGAATTTTAAGCATAAATCACATAAAGGTATGCTTATAGTACAGATTGTTGGCCCCTCATCACCCATCATCCACATTCCCATGGCAGATGAAAAACTTGGCTGTTTAGCAGAGTTCATAGATTTTAGCTATTCGAGAAAAATTGTGAATAGCGTCAAACATCCAGCGTAGACTGATATGCTTGTGTTATGCCATGTAATCCATTTCTTTTCTACTTTCCACGGTGTAGGACCTTCCAAAAATAGATAGAGCGTTTGGCATCAATCGCTCGCGCTGCGCCACGCATTCCACTTTAGCGCAGCGAAATGTTTTTGAACGCCATTTGGTCTTCAAAAAGCGAGGGATTCCTCCAGCCGATCGATTCCGCAAAGACGGAGCACTTCGGTGGGGAACGGATTTTATCCGGAACCTTATCCCCGAAGACTGCGCATACTAACAAGAGGGCTCATTTCTAATTACATCACTTCCGTCACAGTTACTTTAATGTCAAAATAAGTTAATCGTTGTGACCATGAGTTATACTGAGTGAGAAAAAGATCGGAACTTCGTTTATCATGCATTCAGCGTAACAGGCATATCAATACCACCGTTGTATATACTCTACTTCGCTGCGGAAGGGGCGTGTCAGGCAGTATGAGTAAGTTACGGCGCCAAACTCGTTCTTGCCAGTTTTGAAGCGGGTATGAGAGAACGGCCCGTAGAAAACGACTGATACGAACGATATGATAGACTTGTCAATTGTTCGCTCCCAACAGCTGGTAGAGAACGGGTTTGGCACGCTCCAAACTCATCTCGCCTGACAAGCCCCTTCATGCGCAGCGAGGACTGTATTCGTCCCAATTGAAAAGTTCATTTCCTCCAAATTCGGCTCAACGAACCGGATTTGCATTGTAAATTAAATGTCTAGTGAACATTTCTTTGAAATGGGTTGCCTTTTATTTCGTGCGTCACATTCCAGGGTTTTCAATAATGTTCGCCTTCGTTTGCATCACCGTAAGTGGATCATCACTCTATTTCGATCGTCTTCGTTGGAGTACGGTAAGTATGTGGTTCTTTTGCATATTGTACATATCATAGAAATATCATTTTATAGAGGATTATCTCATTCCACCTCATTTTCTTGTCAAATTCAGTTACTTGTGGCGATAAGTTGTGCCATCGTACCTGTGCTGGCGATTACGACCACCTTCGGCCTCTGCTCATTCATCGGCAATCGAACGAATTCGCTCATGCTCATTATGCCATTCTTGATAATGGGCATAGGTACGTTACATGTCATTCACTCATCGTGAAATACTTGCATTTATTTTGGTGGTTCCCCTCGGAGGGAAACCTAAGCCAAGCCAAAGAGAATCAGAATCTCTTCATAAAGGTTTTCTCTGACTGACTAGGGGATGGAGACGTAAACTCCATATTCCGGAAATGGAAGGTGATGTCCACTACTTATGTGAGTGGGGCAGCGGACCGTAGGAATCGGCGCCTGTATGGCGAGGACTCCCTGAGACTCAGCCTCTGTACGCGCCCTCCCAATCTCCGAAAAAATACAAAGGTTTTATGGCTCGAACGACTTCAAAGAACAAAGTAAATTATGGGATCTTTAAGACATCTTGGACACTCTCCTCCGAAGCGATCCTTGCCATATGTGAGGTGTACTATTCCGCAGCTGCAGCATCGTGCGAAATTCGCCGCTCCAAAACGCACAGGAACGGGGCTGGGCTTATCCATAACTGGGTACCGTCTCAGTTCTGCGCTCGCGCTACCCTCAACAGCAGCACTTGCATAGATAGCAAGATCTCGCAACGAACACGCTTTCAGTGCTAGGCGGTCATGCATGTGCCTGGCCGTGCGACAGCGGGCGAAGCATGGAGACGGCACCCGGGCGTGCGTACACTCCAGTACCGTTCCTGTGCGCTTTACGGGGGAAATTGTGGCACGTTCTGTAGCTGCGGACTCATTCAGCTCGCACATATCAAGGAACAGGAATCGCACACGAAAGTGAAGTGTACGGTCTGCCTTCCAGATGAAGTCATCCTTCTGGGTCCCAAAGCTCAATGAGGACAGCCCTCGGAGTTCACCAAATTTACTAGAAATAGAGTTACTACCTCTTGTCCAACAATAATCGATCTTCGTCTTCTGTCAGTAGGGAATAATCGCAGTTAGGGCACATCACCTTTACCACAATCACAGCGGGGTCATATTTGGCCGCTGGAAAATGGAAGCAATTTTTCCCATTCAACTCGCCCCATATTCCCTTGTTACAAGGGATCTCAAACTGCCATACTATTGATATTTGATGTGCCTACGCTCTCCCGGTTGACGGCGAAAGATCGGAAAAAATGTGGTGCGAAAAGAGTAGGTTACGAGAGGGAGTCGAATCAAGGGGGGTGGGAACTGTGTGGGACGTTTCTTTCGAAAAATTTTTTGACAACGCCCTGATGTGACTCGCAACGAGTACCACAAGTGGAACATGACAGGGATGTGGAAAATTCCCCCACCCCATCTTCCCCCCCCCCCCCTATTATAGCCACCGCTCCCGGGATTAAATATGACAACTCACAATGTGGATTACACAACATTAGTGCAGACCCCTGATACTTCTTCTGATTTTCCGAGTGATTAATTCCATTACTGCAGGAGTGAACGACTCATTTCTCACAACACACGCTTGGCTTCGGCAGCCGTTACGACAACCAGCCGCAGTGCGACTGGGTAAAGTACTGGAAGAAGTTCGTTTCTTTTGTAGTCTGCAAAGTTTAACAAGAAATTTCAATATTCTGCCCTTTTGTATAGCCCATTTATTCAGGTGGGACCATCAATAACTACAACAACACTGACAAATGTAGTTACCTTTCTAATAGGATGGCTCACACCAACAGAAGGTAATGGTTTTGAGGAAGTTTGGTAGTTTACGTTATGAGCAAAAACTGAAAATTCTCAAACCTCATTCGAACTTTTCAGAAATATCGATTTTCTGTTTTGGTAGCGCGATGGCTCTCGGTTTTGCCTACATCTACACAGTGATTATCTTCTGTCCTATACTTTACTACTGCACGCTGGAGGAGTCGAAAGAGGCGCACGAAGGTTGCTTCAGGCGCAAGGTAAATATTTTCGTTCGTTACCAAAAACTCTTGTTCAGTTGAAGGAGTTTTTCCAGCGCAAGTTGTTTTTTTTTCAGGGGAAGCGCTTCTTTCGAGCCATTCTCCGAGGTTACAGCTGTGTCCTCGCAGATCGCCGGGCAGCACTAGTTCTATTCCTAGGAACTATTGTGTACTGGTACTTTGGTATTATGGGCACGATAAGCATCACAGCCAAATTGGATACCGAGAAAATCCTGCCAAAAGACACTCCTATTCACAGACCGAATCGCCTTGTAGAAAACATAGGTACATTATCTGCCTTTCCTAGTGTTCTGCTTCGGAATTAAATGATCTATGAAATCGTTCAGTTTGGGCTGAGTACTACCCCGTGACGATCATTGTGAACAACCCGGTAGACGTGCGCGATGTGGATCGTTTGGATGAGGTGAACGCGTTTGTGGCGGAATTCGAACGCCTTCCCACTTGTCGAGGTAATCGCTTTTGGAAGAGTAAAGGTCATTGATGCTAAAGGAACAATTTCAGGCTCCAACTTCACGATGTTTTGGTTGCGAGATTATATCGACTACTATTGGGGTGTTGGTGTGAACGACTTCGACTTCTATTTTGATGCTGATGAGTATCCAGATGAGAAAGAGTTTGGGTTCAAAAAACTAGCTGGATTTCTTGGCAATCCGCTCTACAAGCATCACAAGGCCTTCCTCAATCTCGACTACAATAAAACGTAAGTACGGTTGCACCTCTCTCATTGTTGGGGGGCTTATTTAAAGATGGGAGAAGGCATGCAGTGATAAAACTGTACGCTGAGGGCGCTTGATAAGCCTGAAACGTGCATCTAAGATAAAATGAAATTTGACATCGTGGGCAATTACTGACTTTAATATGCCAGCGAAATCACCCAGCAGGATTTTCTTAAATATGACGCCTTCCAAAACACCCTTTGAAAGTTGTGGAAGGACAGATCAAGCACAATCGACACTCGAACTGCAATGCCACGGGGGGGAGGGGAGGTAGGTTGCTCATTTTGTTCGCGAATGGTTGCAAATTTGGCATGCAGCAACTAACCACGCGTGATTGCTGAGGAGATAGTACGTCATATTTGGTACTGGCAAAATTAAGTACGTCATATTTAGGTACTGGCAAAATTTCTTTTGCTCTTAATCTCTCCTGTTGATGCCGCTTCATATCCCTCCCCCCTGTCCTCGCGTTCGACAGTGAAATTTTTGATAATTCAAGGAGTAGACAACTTGAAGCGAGGGTCGCAAGTTATTTAGAGCCTTGAGACTTACTCCAACAATAGCTTGCTTTCGCTTTAAAAGTGATTGTTCCTTGGTTTTGGGTAAATCTCCTCACCTCGTTCTATTCTCTCATACTTGACATAACCGCGCCTTACCCTGAATCCAACTCTACGGATTTAAAGGAATGGAGTTGACTAAGAGGGAAATGGGTTAGTATCCATGGAAATCCTACATAGTTTCGAATTTCAGGTCTCTGTGCGGCAAAATTCTCTCTGGTTGTTGTATACGAGAACAATACGTCGTGGGACGATCGGATAGATCCTTATGCTAAAGTGCGAGAGCGATCGTTTGACAGGTTCTTTTAGCTTTTCGTTCTTGTTTTCTAGTTTCTGTGTTTGTTGTTTTTTGAAAATTACTGCCATGATTTCTTTTGCTTCCCATAAGCCGCAAAAATACTGAGCATTGAGCTTGAAAAGGTCCTGGCATACTTGATCTACAACGGTCCTAGGACGATAGACCTCAAAGTTTCTATGAAAATGGGAACAACGTCACAGAGCGATGGCCCTTTGTCTTTTAGGATGTGGCCACGCAGTTTACTCCCCTTCAGAAATCGCAGCTGCATTTTGAAATATCCGAGTGCGAATCGAATAGTTTTTATGAGATCCTCCTTTTTTTATTTGTCCTCCAGCGTTTTTCATATATGGAACGAGGATTTTCATGCAAATACCCATGCATTTGTTTCTCCTAGCAAGTATAAAGAGATAGAAAGCAATACTACATGAGCACTTATCATCTCCTCGAAAATGCTTGCAGCACTAGCGAACGATGGCTTCAAGAAAAAAAAACTAGTGGAATATGGCAGGGACTGTGTTCCACCGTCAGGTCTCGGATCGATTCTACCCAGCTGAAATGGCCGCTTGCCCCTCTGGCACCGATTAAGGAGCACCAAACTCTTCTGAGCGGATAGGAGCACGGTCACCCACTTCCCACTAACCCTCCCTCCAATCCTGCTATCTGCCACAAGCCAAGCACTCACACTGAAGGCAAAATCGCATTCAAGGGCCCCTGCGATTTCGTCGGGGAGTGAAACACTTTTTGCATTTCAGCGGGGATTAATCAATGAATGCTTCTGTTCATCAAGACTTTATGCTCTATCCCCAATCGGGCACGTCCTGCCGCTGGACAAAAATTTTGCAGAACACCTCCCCCGTCAAAATTTCCTTCTCTGGTACGATCCCCTTCGTTATAGTCGCCATCCTACCTACTATGTTACTGTCTTCCTGAATTATCCCCTAAACTCTACCATATTCCAGAACGATTTTTCTCCAGTTTCTTCCCAGCTACCATGGATCGGAGGGGGGGGGGGAGGAGGGGAAGCGATATAGCGTTAGTGCAACATTAAAATCTAGTGAAGACTACGCCGGAAACATTCTTTTCAGAGGTGTTGCCTTGTTACCTACCTCCCTCTAGCGATGAATGACCCCCCCACCTCGCTGGATATCCCCAACGTACGACGTGCCCTGACCGGTGGCCACAATCTCCAGATTTGCACTTTACTATCACCCATTTCTCACGCCTTTGAAACCAACGGCTTGTTAACCGATGCATTAGAGGCGGGGTAACGAAATATTTGTTTGGCGCCGCCCCTTCTAGTTCTGCATGAGGATTCCACATCCATCTAAGGATTGGCGATGGTTCTTGGACATTAGGAAGTCTACGGAATTGATTATGGTGTATCTTAACAGCGCCTTGTTCCGTGAATGAAATATTTGTGTGAAAACGCATCGATTGTACTTTTTTTCTCACTCCGTTCCTTTTAGGTACCCAAGCCTCAATGCAAGTGTTTGGAATGTGAATGCCATGTTTGTTGATCAGATGTTGAGCTTGAAGTCACTAACGTGGCAGGTGAGTTAAGGTGTTCCTCGTTGGTGAGCTGTGCTCTCCGTGAACTCCTTCAGGATGAATTCCATTTCCAGACATGCTTGTGGACGTTGTTCTGTATGGCAATCGTTTGTGCTATTTTCATTCAAAATCCAATTTCGGTTATCATGGCCACCACTGCGATTGCATCCATCAGCCTTGGTGTTATGGGGTAAGCTCGTATTTTGGCTTTTTGTACGGGAAGCATGTTTTCGATTTTTTTGGGGTGTTTTCGCCCGTAAGCTATCCACAAAATTTTTCAGGTACCTCTCATTCTGGCATCTTGACCTCGATCCTGTTTCGCTTTGCGCCGTTCTTATCAGCATCGGCATGGCCGTCGATTTCGTTGCTCATACTACATACCACTACCAAGTAATTTTTTTTGATCTTTTCGTAATCACAGCCTCAGAAATCCCGTTATGTTAAAGGTTGCTCTGTTAATCTTGGACAGGGTAATTCGCATTTCTATAATTCTTCCTGTGCTGTAAACAACATATCAGTTGTCAAGTATAGTTCCATCAGCAGCTAACTTTCCACATTCCACAGTTCCCAGAGATGAGTGAACTCCCACAAACAAACTCGCCCATAACATTTGAGAAAAATATATTTCATACTTCAGTTCTGGTAGGGAAGTTGTTCACGGAACTTGTTTGCTACGCTGCGGTCTTTAGGCAACATGGGTGGGGAGGGGGAGGGGGAGGGACGAAAGACTGAAATTTAACCTGTCGCAAGAATACTTGGAAGTGCAAGCGTTGTCTGTGCTGGTCCCTGCTCTCTTATGCACGCATGGTTTACGTGTAATGCCCCCTATGCCTCTGACTATTGCTGGCCTACAGCGAGCTCTTAGCAGTTGGGCAGCCCACCCCATGACCTTCCTCCAACTCATTACCCGAGAAGGTCCATGAGTTCAAGGGCCGGTAGTTGTAGAACCACTTATATGCGCAGGAGCTTCGTCAGCACTGCTTATGCTCACATTGCCCTGATTATCACTTTACATTAGATCCCGCGATCATCCTCCACAAGGAAACTGCCTATAAATGCGGTATACGTCTATCCTTATCAATCTTTATCCAACCAGCCCTACCGTATCGATATGAGTACCAAGCTGTCTTTATTTGCGGCCATGCCTGTGAATCCTATCACTGAATCAGTCTTGCATTGCCTTCAATAGGCACTGCGCACGATCACTCCATAAAGTATTTAGCTCTGCGAAGGTTAAGGAAGGGAAACCGGCGGCCCGACACACTGTACGCGTCAGGAGTTTTGGGGTGGGCGGCGGTAAGGCACAAAGTTGTTCGGTGACTCCATCGGGGAGTCAGAGACTCTGCCCTCGTTGATAGATACTTTTATCAGTTGACTTACTCGTTTGCGTGCTCTCTCGTCGCTCTTATCTGTCCTCTCGCCCGAGAACCGCATCGGTCTTTTATCTCTCGCTCAGCCCAGGGGAGGCCTGAACTTGAGCGTTCCCGGCTGCTTCCTTTGCCTTTTTTACTCACTGTGTCAGGTGGCACTCTTGATTCCAACCTTGATACCAACGAACTTCTCTCTGGCTCACTGCGAATTCTGCCTTTAAGCTTCACATACTCTTTTTTCGCATTTTGATTTTGGATTTCACGGAATAATATTTGTCTTATTTGAAAAAAATGGAAAATAATTGTTTCAGAGGAGCAGTAATCGATTATCTTTTTTTCAGCTGTCGTACCGCGAAGTGGTTCGAAAAGGCCAAGAAATGCGAGTTGATCTTGACACCCCGTACAGCAGGATACGACATACAATCAGCAATATCGCGTGGCCAATGTCACAAGCAGGCATTTCCACTGTTATCTGCATTCTACCCATCGTCGTACTACAGGTATTTGATTTCCACGCTTCGTTCCTTTTGTACATCATTTTCGTGCCTGAGTATTTCGAGCGCATGGTCGGTACAATGGCTCCTTCAGCTTCTATCCTGTCATAAAACTGTAGTCAAGAACAGAAGTGTAACTGAAACTGATGGGTATATTGTTATACCGAGTTGCGAAGAGCGCGGTGGCATAGGCGCTGCAGTGGGTGGGGAGGGGGCGGTTCATTCGATTCAGAGTCATTCGTTCGATTCAGAATCCATTTGATATGAGGCAGCAAAGCGTTGTCAGTTAGGTGGTGAACGCTATGCCAGTCCGCGCGCTATGTCGCAACTGGGAGCCAGGACACAATCGTGTTTCACCGCTAAGTAGGGAGAGTGCCGAAAGCACAAGGGTCAGTCAACGCTGAAAAACGATCAGACGAACTAAGACCACAAGAACACATCTGCTTGCACGGGCAAAAAAATAGGAGAACTTACATGCGTGGCGCAATGGGGAAGTACGATCAGCCGAATGCGCGGAATGGACTACTTTCAACTCATTTTGTTAGAAAGATGTATTCTAGCAAGCAATAGTTAATTTCCCGAACGGGAACGGCTAGCGCAGGGCGCGATAGGGTTCTCAGAGAAGGCTCTGCATTTTTCACAACCAATTAGCACAGTAGGTAGTTTGTACATTTAAAGCTTACGAAAAGAGAGACTATTTGTTGGAAAGCAAGAAATCCTTTTAAACTCTAGGCGCTGTCGTTTTCTGCTTAGAAGATCACTAATGGAAAAAGTTATGGCCTAACGCAGGCATATTTTCCAGAACTACATTCGCACCTTGTTATTATGTTACAACAATAACTTCTGGTGGTCATATGGGGGTTTATCGGCATGGATGTGGGCTGCTTGCCTGCTTTTACTTTGCTCAAGGTATCTTTCGAATGGAATTGGTACTTCATGTTTACCGGCTCAAAATTTTGCATTTTCGATGCAATATTCTGCACTTCGAAAGGGCGTTCATACCGCGTTTCCTGATCGCTCCAATCCAAGTGGTCCTACATCGGGAGTACCCTGGAACCTTTTCAGCCCGTTCATTATGTGAGTGATTCCGACATCATGGAGTCAAACATTCTTTGATTCAGATTCCATTGCGGTCTTTTGAACATTCACTGTTACGGGGTCCTATGTGAATGCTGAATGAAAGTTGCCGGCCAGGAGATGTTTCTTCTCGATGGCGACGCTATTCGTACATGATTTACTAATACTCTGTACTTTCACTGTGTGTGCATTTTACTTCACCTCTGTCCCTCAGTACTGCCAGGTTCAACCTTCACAAAAATCGTGGTAATTCCATTGCCGCATTCGCGCTCGTCGCCCTCCGTAGTGACGCGATTACCTTTCGTAGTGATCACCTTTAGCCACAACATATCTTTGTCGTTCGTTGTTGCCGGTACAACACACTACGCCTGCAAAAGAACCCCCTGTCGCTATCTAGTGGCCAAGCTTTGCGGGGTACTACATGGTAGGAAAAATGTCGATGTTGTGACTAATGTGAAGAGTCCATCTAAACATATGTAATCTCACCCCTTCATGAGTCGAGATGGCCTTCAAAACTCCAGGGATTGTTTCATAGGCATGGGCCCTATAAAATTTCAGAATGGATATAGCTCTTCAATTTGTTCTAGTGTTCTTGCCCACAGTACTTTGTCATTTGTCTGACTTTCTGACAATCTTCAAATTGCTCATGCTAGACTTATGTTCCATGCTAATATTACAGTTGAGGGACGTACGGTCCTGTTGTTGGCGGCATTTGATGGATTGGAGGTAATGAAAGCGCTTTATCACGTGTCATGTACCGGTCAACGTCTCATTAGCCGAACTTTGCATAGGTAGTGACTGCAACAGCAGTAACGGTATTGTACATTCCACAAATTGCATTATGTATGTATGTATGTAAGAGTTAACTTTTACACTCGCTGAATGCCGCTCTAAAATATTCATTTTTGATCTTGATCAAATAAAAAGGGTATTTGAGTGTTGACCAGCAGAATTCCTACAACGCAGCATTCCAGTGGAGTGATCAGCTTTAGCGCCTGTTACGATCTTGTCAACGATCTGTGCCATATGGCACGACTTATGTGCACAGAAATAAAATGTTTGAAACGTTCTCGACTCGAAGACGCACCAGCAACATATTTCCGGAAAAAAAGGAAAATAGTAAAGGCAGTTGTCACGATAAATCCCCCAAGGCACCAGGATCAATACTCCTGGCAGGATAGAATTCTGCGACCCCGGGCAGGCGCTGCATAGCGGTTTCTCCGACGCTCGTATTCATTCACTCTAAGCAAATTATGAAGCGAAGGGATTGGTATGAAGCGGCCGTGACGCTGCATGCATACATGGGCACATACATGCAGCCGTATCTTCGTAGCGGTGATGAGTAAGACGCCTACGGGAAACTCGTCCGAATCGATTTACAAGTCACTGAGAACGGAGGATTTCTCTTCGCAGGATTTTGACCATTTCACTCCGTTCTTTCACCAGTTCCCCACTATACAGCGCCCTACTAGCATTTTAGGCTAAGTAGGAACCATCGTGCCAACTGCCTTTAAAACTGCACTGGATGATACGAGCGCACATCCGAGAAACGCTATAACCTGGAAGAACAGAAGAACATGGAACACTACCCCATTAGAGTGTAGCACTTTTGTCACTGTCTCTATATTAACGGGACAAGGATCAATCTTCGCCGATGATCAATCCCTGTGTAGGATGTGGAAAGCATTCTACTTCCATTCAGAATCGTAGTGGCTTTTTTTCTTAGCATCTGGCCTACGCAATGATGGGGAGACGGGCAAGAGAATCGTTGTTTGCCGATCCGCCGCGCGCGGCGATGGGCGCGACATTTCCTTAAATCATGTTAACCTGTCGACTGGAGCGCCGGACTTCATGTAGACCTCGTCGTCGTAGACGTTCATGACTATTTTCGGTTCTGAATTGCTTGTTGTTGCCATCTACTACCTGGAACCATCGTCATTTGCGAGCGCGACATCGCACGCGACGCCCATCAGCGCGGTGAATTACGATCCTCTTGTCACATACCCGACTTGTGGAGGCCAGCCGATGTACGCATCAGGGTTATCAGCCTCCCAGACAAATCTGATACCCATTTACCGTCCCCCCAGATGGAGAAGGTTGGGCGGGAATCGATCCGGGATTTGAAACCAGGGCCGCGCGAGCGGTCAGCGTCGTGCCACTTGCCAAGTTTCACTACTACTTTCACTTACTACTACAAAATTCCAAGAAAGAGAAAGGTGCGTTCCGTCTGGAGAACTTTTGCCCGCTGAAATGTTTTTTCGAGTTCCTGATACAAAATATTGAACATTCATTTTTTAGCGGGCTGGCGCCAATACCGAACTAGCCTGTCTCACCTAATCGGTGAGAAGGTTTGCGTAGGGAGGTTATTTGATTTTAATCACGACTATTTATGCTGGACTCCATTTTGTGCTTATAAGCGGAGCGATAGCGCGGAAACTGAAAGCCATTTGGTTGTCGACATTGCTACCAGCATACATAAAACCAATCTCACATATTGTGACAAGCAGATGTCTCATAACCCTCGTGGACATAATTGTTCATCTCGATTTTTGGTTGGCAGGGGTGGCGGCGAGCTGATTGGGGCCAGCCGCCAAAAATGCATGTCTATCGTGATCAGAACGGTATAACGGGCAAAGTTTGAGCAAAAAAAATGTCTGAGTTTCTATCATAATCTTCTTATGCCGTTGACAAAACGATCGCCTTTTTGAGTTTTTCGGATGTGTCACCTAGCCTTTACCTTTACTGTAAGAAAAGTTGTCCATATTTCGTACATGACTCGGTTGGTATCTATTTCCGACGGCACAGTAGGAGCTCGAAAAAATAGAGATGAGGAAAAGCAAAATATTGACGCTCATTACGGAAGCGGTCCATAAATTCCTGGCTGGAGTTCACTCGATAGTCCATTTAAATGGCCACCATTTCGCAACCGCAAAACTTGCGGGAAACGGAACTCAAATAGGCACAAAAAATGCGCAAGTGATCTGATTAGCGGAGAAAGCACAAGAAAAGGCAGTCCGAAATGTTATAGAGAAAGATAACATAGTGGCTACTACCTAGTAGCTATCAGCCGGTGAGGGGTCGGCATGGGGCCTAGGGGTGTCCATGGGACCAATTAGTCAGTTTCTAGCGCAGTTTTCTGCCGTTTTTCACATTATGAAAGTAGCGCAGCCCAAAAAATCGTCTTCCCGGATCGTCCGACACATTTGAGAGGTCATAGCCCTATTTTTTCGCGGAATGTGCCTTTAAACCATCCGAGAGTAATAGAAGAAACTTCCATACCGTTTCCACTGAATAACCCTACAAAGCCTTTTGCTACTACTTTGATATCCACTGTTTTTTGAACCATTTTTAAGGTAGCGCTCTATCCACCTGGAAAACCCGCTCATTATGGATTAGGGCACTAATCCATATCCGAGAGATGCAGAGAGTCGTGACAGCTGCGATCCCTGTTTCGAGCGGGACAGAGAACATGAAATCGCAATTCTTATACTTGTCTAGCACAAAGGCAAAACGTCAGCTGCCTCAGGTGGTAAGTTCTCGTCAAAAACGAGGTACCAAGCCATGCTCATATGAAGCACGCAACCATGGCCTCCTTTTCTCCGCCATACGGAGTGTAATTTGCGGCGGGTGAAAAGAAAAACAAATCAACGAAATGGAAAACTCTTACTGCGTGGAGTACGACCACCCTCCCATAAAGTACGACTAAGTAACGTCAAGCACAACTCTAAGTTGTTGGCTAGGATGCCGCAATATGATACAATACGCATTGTAATTTTTCACAACAATGACCTTTGTTTCCAATAGATGTCCTGTTCTCAAAAAGTCTAGCAAACTTCTCACACTTCTTCCCATCGGACTTCGTATGAACTCTACATGAATTTGTTCTCATAATGGTCTCATCGAGGCGGAGATGGTGTAGTGACAAGTAGGGCGCTCACCATTCGCGCGGTCCCGGGTTCGAATCCTGGGTCCGACTCCCGCCAGGACAACCAAGCCTTCTACATCCGGGGACGGTGAATTGGTACAGATTCGTCTCGGAGGAGTAAAACACTGACTATGTACATCGGCTGGATACCGCAAGGTCATTGTATAGGCCACATTCGCATTCAATTAACCCACTACGATTCTGAATGGAATTAAAATGCGTGCCGCATCCCACAAAGGGGATTGATGCAACGGCGAAGACTTTATGCCTTTTATCCCTATCCTGTATGGTCTCATACCCAGCATTTCAAACGAGCAAGAGGGCAGCTAAAGGTGACCAAGGGTGAAGGCTTGTAGCGGTATTAGCAGCCTTCGTTCCACACAATGACCTTACCGATAATGTTGCTATTGCTCCAGAAGAGCCCCCCTAGGGATCCGCGATGTACTGCAGGTACTCCGTCCTGCGCTGATTATTCAAAGCATCAAACATAATAAGTGTTATGGACAGAAGTAGACTTGAACGGAACTCGAACCCGCATCTCTTCGCTTAGCAGTAAGCAGGATGCGGGCCCGAGTTCCATTCAAGGTCTGAGTTTTTGCCGCATAACTCAGCACATTTGAGATTTTCGGAGTGCGCACGGCTGGCGTTAAGCAGCAGTCATGAAATCTATTAATGACTCTAAAGCACTTTGCGAACATACTATGTTAAACTTCAAAATGCACAGGAGATTTTAAAAAAATTATATGAATTCACAAACGAAGATTGCCATCTTCGACACGCTGTTCTCAGCTCCATTTTTACAGAAATGCGACAGAAAATGAACTTTATTGGAAATAAACGAGTTGCTAACAGACAAAGACCGTATGAAGACGTGATAGCAAACTATGAAGCTACATAATGGGCGAAAATATGAGACTGCAACTTACTGAAAGATTAACCAGAAAGAGAGCAGCACACCTTTACAGCTTGAATTTCACAGAGAGAGGTGGAAGCAAAAGAGTTCGCCAACAGGTCAGTTAATCGTCACCAGATAATGCTCACAGGCCAGCAAAGTGTCTAAAATGAAGTATGAAGTGATCGGTCATGCAGTTTTTTTGAAGGAGTGACAGCATAATACGAAGAGGAGAAGAAGTCGCTCAGTTACAAGAAGAAAGCGAACGAAGAGAT